AAAAAAAAATGTCAGAAAGTACAGTTTTGAAAGGGGCAGTTATTTTGCATTGCTTAAAGTTTAAAAAAAAAAAAAAAAAACCTTTAAATATCATGCCTGGTGGTGGTGGGGGGCGGGGTCTCCTTAAACTACCTGCAAAGTTGCACATCTGTACAATGCATATAACTTGCTGCAACAGGACTGACATTTGTAAGGAAAAATTTAATTTTATAATTTTTTTTAAAACAGCGTGGGGTCCCCCCCCCATCCATACCAGACTCTTTAGGTTTGGTAGGAAGGTTAGGAGGAACCCCACTGTAAAAAAAAAAAAAAAAACAAATTAGTTTATTAGTTTATAAGCAAAAATTATAATTTTTAAACATTTTTTTTTTACATTTTTAATTTTATTATATTATTTTTTTTTTTTTTTTTTTTTTTACATACTGTCACCCTAGCAGTACAGTGTCACCATGGTGACACTGTACTACTTGTGGGGGCTGATGAAGATTTTTTTTTTTTTTTACACTGATTGCTTTTACACCCTTATAGGATGTAAAAGCAATCATTTCTCTTTCTCTCTGTCTGCATTCTTGCACTTATTGAGAAGTACTGAGTGAGCTGTGATTGGTCACAGCTTGTCACATGGTACAAGGCTGTTGTGAATAGCCTTGTACCATGTGACCTCTGTAATCATTCACAGATTTCACATGTAGTAAGCAATGATGTCACAAGTGACATCTTGCTTACTACTTTGCATGTGATCACTGATTGGCCAATCAGTGATCACATGATCGGGACCTCGTACAGAGGTCCCGTCCAACGATCGGTGTTTCACTGTGTCCGGAGGACACAGCAGCACTGGATCACGGTGCTGCGCGCTCCCAGGGAGTGTGCACAAGCAGGGTGCGGGGAGGCCGTTTATAAACGGCCACCCGACCCTATACTGCCACCGTCCGGCCGTTTATATGCAACGGCCGGTCGGGAAGTGGTTAAACACTTTTTTCCTTTGTAAATAACAGTGTTGTTGGCTATAACAGTGATGCACCCCTTCACAGAAAGGTTTAGGGCACTCCCAGGCATGTTTTTGAAAGGAAAGGGGCTTTTTTAATGTTTCTTGTTAAGCAGCCATTTGAGAAATCACTGCTCCTGACCAAACAGAAGTTTTAAAAATTGTATTTTTTTTCATTGTCGATGTTTCTGTCCTGTTTTATTTTTAACACCCCTTACCTATTATTCCAGAAAATGGGCATTGTCAGTTTGGCAGATTCTTCTCCCATTGATTTCAATGGGGTTCAACATCTAAAATTTGATATTCTTTGAACAATGCTCAAACAAAACCCAAGGTAGTTCAGCTCATCTCAACTTAAGACAAAAGTATCTCGGGCAGTAACTTCTTTAGCCTATCTAGCAGTAGAAGTATAGCAGATTTTTTAAAAGTTTCCCATTTTCTTGCATTTATGACACCTTGCATCTTTTGCAAGGCACATACATGATATTCAATGTTGAGCTACACCTGAAGAAGCATTTTTTATGTGTATATACAGATCTGTATTACCATTTAGATGAATGTTGTGTTCTTTTCTAGTTGGCTTGAATGTGTTTCATAAGAGGCAGATTCTAAATTCAAAGAAGGAGATTTACTCAAACTGAATCACTCAGAATTTGATGCAGTTTATGCATGGTAGCTAATCAGCTTCTAACTTCAGCTTGTTCAATTGAACTTTGACAATGAAACCTGGAAACTGATTGGGTTCTATGAAGAGCTGCAGCAGATTTTGCACACTCCAGTAAATCTCCCCCATAGTCTGTAAGGTGCTAGTAGATACACATGACAGAAGGTTTTGCCCAAGTCACAGTATTTTTACTTTGGGCTGAAATTATAATAGCCTTTGCTTAAGCAATCTAGCTCTAATGCAAGTTCAGTTTGTTTGTTTTTTTTTGGTTGGCTTCTTATCATGTCATCTTTTAAGCCGGCCACAGACAGTTGCAAACTCGGCCAGTTCAGCAGGGACTGGTCAAGATTTGAATCATGTATGGGCAAGCTGAATGTTCCCAAGTTCAGTACAACCAGCCTGTCTGACTATACATGCAATTATTACTAACGGTTATTATAGCCTCTAGAGGTAATCACTGTGTTCTCTCGGTGGGGAAGGCTCCCCCTGCCCTCACACCATAGATCCGCATGAGGGATTCCCCCATTAACACTAACTGTGTTGATGGGGGAATCAAGTCATTTTCTTTCCTGCAACCTGTGGTTGCAGGAAAGAAACTCTTCATCTATGGTTGGCTTTAGAGCACCAAATTCACAGGTAACAACCAACTGATATATGCTATACATTGTGCTGTGGATTAACCATTATGCAGTCCAAAATGCCATAATTTATATCATTTTGTAATTACATTAACATTAGGCAAAAAAGAAGCTCTTTAATGCAATGAGAGCTGTATCAAAAGTGTCATCTGCTGCTGAAAATATGATGTTCTTCTTCTCCCTGGCAGTAAATAATAAATCACACTTTCTAGCAGTATGTAAGTTCTTCTGATCAGTAGCAACAATGTAATTTTCTAATACATACTGTAAATCCAAGCATGTTAAGGCATTGCAAGCTTACCAAGGTGTGGAAGAAAAAAAGTGCAGGCTGCTGTAGACATAGAAGGGACATGGCATCCATGAGTATATCATAAATGGAACAGGAACTGGAACTAACTTGTATAAAGTATAGAAAGCATTATATGTAACAATTGTAAATATTGACATCTACAGACCACCAGAGGTATGAACACCATGGAATTTAGACCATGGAAAGAGATATTTCAAGTAACAATATGCTGCTAATCTTAAGGTAAGGGCACAAGACCATTTCCAGGAACTCTATATGGCTGAGTTGGAGGGGTGGATGCTGGTTTTCCAGAGGCACTGCTGAATTATTTATTATTTAATAACTTGTATTGCTGATACAGGAGAGTGGTTAAAGGGCTGTTTCCAGGGATTCTGTGATGCTGAATGGGAAAAATGCAAAAGAGTGAGAAAATGATGTGAACTGGTGTGAATAATTTTAATGTTTATTTATTATTTTATTTATTAGCCAGAAACCCATGTAACATTTTTTACTTATTTTGACGTTTCTGTACAACAAATGGATACCAGCTTTTGTCAAATAACATATCAGTGTTTGCAGATAAGTGTTATTGGTAAAGTAAAATATATACATTGCTCAAAAAAAATTAAAGGAACACTTTGAAAACAGGATATCTATACTGATATGGACTGGGTAATGTGTTAATGTAAGGATGCTCCATTGTTTGATGGAAATAAAATTCAAAGGACAAATCACAGTGAAAAACCATGCAGCAGGCTCATCCATTTTGCTGAAATTTCATTGCAGCAACTCAGAATGGTACTCAGTAGTTTGCCTGGCCCCCACATGCTTGTATGCATGCCTGACAATGTCGGGGCATGCTCCTAATGAGATGATGGATGGTGTCCTGAGGTATTTCCTCCCAGATCTGGACCAGGGCATCACTGAGCTCCTGGACAGTCTGAGGTGCAACCTGGCAGTGCAGATGGACAGAATCATGATATCCCAGATTTTTTCTATTGGGTTTAGGTCAGGCGAGCATGGGGGCCATCCAGTGGTATCAATTCCTTCATCCTCCAGGAACTGCCTGCATACTCTCCCCATATGAGGCCAGGCATTGTCATGCACCAGGAGGAACCCAGGACCCACTGCACCTGGGTCTGACAATGGGTAAAAGAATTTTATCCCAATACCTAATGGCAGTTAGGATGCCATTGTCTAGCCTGTAGAGGTCTGTGCACACCTCCATGGATATGCCTCCCCAGACCATCACTGACCCACCACCAAAACAGTCATGATGAACGATGTTACAAGCAGCATAACATTCTCCACGGCTTCTCTAGACCCTTTCATGTCTGTCACATGAGCTCAGGGTGAACCTGCTCTCATCTGTGAAAAGCACAGGGTGCCAGTGGTGGACCTGCCAATTCTGGATTTCAATGACAAATGCCAATTGAGCTCTATGGTGCTGGGCAGTAAGAACAGGGCCCACTAGAGGATGTCGGGCCTTCAGGCTATCCTCATGAAGTCTGTTTCTGATTGTTTGGTCAGAGACATTCACACCAGTGGCCTGCTGGAGGTCATTTTGTAGGGCTCCAGCAGTGCTCATCCTGTTCCTCCTTGTACAAAGGAGCAGACACTGGTTCTGCTGATGGGTTAAGGACCTCCTATGGCCCTGTTCAGCTCTCCTAGAGTAACTGCCTATCTCCTGCAATCTCCTCCATGCTTTTGAGACTGTGCTGGAAGACACAGCAAACCTTCTGGCAATGGGCCATATTGATGTGCCATCCTGGAGGAGTTGGACTGCCTGTGCAACTTCTGTAGGGTCCAGGTATCACCTCATGCTACCAGAAGTGACACTGACTTATGCAAAACTAGTGAAAAACAGTTGGGAAAGATTAGTAGGGAGTAGGGAAAAAAATGTCAGTGGCCTCCACCTGTAAAACCATTCCTGTTTTGGGGGTAGTCTCATTGTTGCCCATCTAGCGCACCTGTTGTTAATTTCATTAACACCAAAGCAGCTGAAATGGATTAAAACCCCCCTCTGCTACTTAACTGACCAGATCAATATCCCAGGAGTTTAATTGACTTGATTCTATACCCTGATTAAAAAGTGTTCCTTTAATTTTTTTGAGCAGTGTATACAGTATGTGTATGTCTTCAGATTTAACCACTTCAATAATAGGTACTTTTACCCCCATCCTGCCCAGGCCCATTTTCAGCTTTCAGCACTCTCACACATTGAATGACAATTGCGCGGTCATACAATGCTGCACCTAAACAAAAATGTTATCATTTTGTTCACACAGCTTCCTTTTGGTGGTATTTAATCACCACTGTTTTTTTTTTTTTTATTCTTTGCTAAATAAATAAAAAAAACATGTTTTTCTTCATTCCTGTTATAAAATTTTGCAAATAAATAATTGTTCTGCATAAATTTAGGAGAAAATGTATTCTGTTATATTTATTTGGTGAAAATAACCCAAATCAGTGTTTATTATTTAGTCTGTAGGAAGGTTATAGAGTCCACAACAACTATGGCATACTGCATATCTGAAAATTGATCAATCCTGATGTACTGATGGACAATCTAATTTCTTGAGGCCCAAAAATGTCAGGACAGTACAGAAAGCCCCCAAATGACCCCTTGGAAATTCAACAATCTGAGATATTTAGTAAGAGGCTTGGTGGGGTTTTTTGAAGTTATATAATATTCTATAGTAATATAGAATAAAAAAACATTTTTCACATTTCTACTTACTGTCACTAATGCAGTACAGCGTCATCATGTAACTGGTGTAGTGATGATCAAAGACAATGACTGGTGACAATTTTTTTAATAATACACTGTGACCAGAGTAGTATAATGTTACCATGGTAACATTGTACTACTCTAGGGAAGTATCAATTTTTTGTTTTTTTACACATTAGGATAGCTTATAGCAAAGAATTGCATTGCTATAAGCAAGCATTTAACTAACTGAAATTGATTCATTCAGGTTTTTTTGTTGTGATTAGCTGTGATTGGCCACAGCTAATCACATGACACAGATGGGCTTTGTTTGTTCCAGTCTGTACCATGTGATCACTGTGACCAATCACAGCTAGCAACACAATTGTATACAATAGATGGCATGAAAGGAAATCATCCATTGTTTACAATTGTCATGTGACCTGCTGTGAGTGGTCACAGTGGTCACATGGTACTGGCAATGGACACAATCTGATAGACAACTGGTGACAGCTCTTGCCACAGTGCGGCCCGGCGGGAGCATACATAGTGCAATCTGAGAGGACATTATATGAGGCCCACCCGGATCAATGAAAGTCTCACTTGGGCCTCAATTTTCTATTGGCTGGGTGGGAACTGGTTAAATTGATGTCTTAGTAGATCAAAAAAACTTAGTCAGGCAGTAAAGTAGTATGAAGCATGTTGCTGGCATATGGATGTCACTTCTCTTATCTATATGCAACTTGAAACATATGCATTGCTTGCCTCTGAAGGAGCTACTTGATGTGTTGTTTCCCTGTTCCTGTGACCATTACTCTGCAAATAGTATTATACAATATGCCACCTGACTGGGCGGTAAATGTTTATTACAGATATCTGTATATTCACCCCAAAGGATCAAGGTGCATAGACACCAGGAATGATGCAGCAATTGGTTTAGTGAGAAGCAAGTAGCAAGATGTATACTGCAATAAGGTAATCAAAAGAAGAAGTGTACCATAGTGAGCAAACAATGAGAAAAAATACTGTATTGGTTTATGCAGTAAGCGTAATGTGCTGGAGAAACAATAACTGGTATAAAACACAACCCCCTCCCCTGAACCCTATACTGGGCAACCCTAACTAACAGCTCATCAGTCAATAATATACTGTGTAATATACTCTAATTCCTCTGCTGGCAGGCTCATTGGGGCCTAGCCATTATGTTGGAGCACTCAGGGTAGCATCCTTTTTGGAACTAATGCAGGCATTGCCACTATATTTCTTGCAGATAACTCGGTCCCTCTTTTATCAATGTGTAGTCAGTAGCCTCAACCAGCAACCAAGACATCCTTTGTTGTTCCAGATTGGCTGCTTCTGTGTCTCTCCTTCTCTCATGTGCAGTGGTCTACTTGAAGCCTCAGTTCCCCTGCAAGTCATTTCCTCTTCCTCTGTTCAGTCTGGTCAAAGTTAAAACTCAAGAAAATTAAAAACACTTCTCCTCCTCTCCAGCACAGTGCCTCTGGGACTGAAGTCTTTTCCTCTTGCAAAATCTAAAGCCAACTCAGTTTGTACAAACTACACCTCCCACAGACCTCCACACTTCTCCCCAGAGTCTTAAACATTCCACATTCCCAGTGTGGCCCCTAATGAATGGAAGAGGGCTTGACACTGGCCCTTTCATGTTCTGTGATAAGAGTCTCCTCCTCTAGCTGTGCCTGTTTTAAAAGTCTCCTCTGCTGCCAGACACAAAATATTTTTCCTGAACGTGCTGCAGACTATGCTATATATACTGTACATTATATATGTAAATTAGGTAGAAAGAGAAGAGCACATAACAGTAAAGATGCCAACTGGCAGAAGAGGAATATAGCAGTGGGTCAACTTTTGCTTTAATTCCAGGCCTTAATAAAGCCAATACTTTTGTTTGTCCTTTTTCCCCTCAGTTGATACATTATGAGATAAGGTATTCATTTTAGAGCTGATTCACACTTGTGTGGTGCAGATTGAAGCTCAGGTTTCACAGCTAACTGACACAGTAGTTGTCCTGAGGTTCATGACAGATTTACATCAGGTTAGCTCAGGATTTTAGCCGGTTCACATATGAAGTTTAGAAACAGTTCCCATAGAAGTCAATAACCTGTAATCTGTACCTGAACCTCAAGGCACTGCTCAGAAATTGCACATGACTCTTTTTCAAACTGCACTGAATCTGTAGCGGACATACGTGGACAGGCACCATAGGAAGCAATGTTATTTCACATGTCATGCGGATTGGATACTGTCCAAACCAACACCAATCCTCATATATGTGAACCAGCACTTAGGCAGTAAAATCAGATAGCAGACGTTTTTTTTAAACATGTACAGTTAATTCGTGTATGTTTGATACCATTTTAGATGGCAATAAAGCTGATAGTACCTTGTTAGGTAAAATATAGTTTCCACACTATGTGAGTCATAGTGTGGAAACTATTTTAGCAGAAAAACAAACAATGAAATGTGTGTTTTTCTAGGACCCCCAAGCAGCAGATACAGCCTTATATTCCAAACATTATAGTTTTTGTACTATTTCAGTGTTTATCTAGAAATTATAACCCAGTGATAAAATTAACTTTTGGCTTTCAGATGCTGAGTATAGCACGTTTCAACAGCATTTGTTAATATGGCACAAATGTTAAGAAACAGAAAAGAAAGCAACAGAAAAGACCAAAAAGAGCAGTGCGCAAAACTTTAAAAGAAAAAACTAAGGTTAACAGAATAGCAAAGATTACATAATACAGAGGGCATCTAAGAGTAATTGGTAATCACAAAAAGATTATAGGCCATATGGAATTTGCTGGTATAACCAGTCAAAACTGACAAGTGGTTATATGTGAAACAAAGGGCATCTCCTATAAGAAAATGACACGACAAATATAATATGCTGCACCAAGAATTTCAAAACTTGATATATTGATGTGTGTATGTGCTTTAAACAGTTGCCTTGAGCAATTCTGCAGTCAGTCTGACCTGCATCTTTGAAGCAGGTCTATTTTTAATAATATGCCATGATTTTTACCGGGTCAGTAAAATCAGTCCTCAGGAGTATGTCTTACAGGTGACCTTACCATGCTTTGAAATGTTGCTGTAATGTGCTATTACATGGCAAAGCAAATTGTGTACAGCACAACAAACCACATGAGAAAGGGTTTAGGAATCCCACTATTCAAGTAAACATCAGCCAATTTCCTAATGCCAGTGAACCATTTTATTAACGTTCACATGAAATAATGTTTTCTGAATTGTTATTATATTTTGTACCTACCATAACATCATTGCTAGCCTGATCATTAATATAAGCAAGGAAATCTGAAAACATAGTATTTGAGTTACAGCCCATAACTGCAGCTTAGATTGGAAATTTCAAAATAAATGTTCAAAATCATTATCATAAATAAGTTCTTTTATTAGCATATTTTTTGCTGTCTAGCTTGAAAATGTGATTGACCGCCCCCCCCCCCCCCCGGATTGCTGCTTCAAAAAAGACAAAGTCATGTAAATCCTGCTGCCTGTGTAGTTATTGGCTTTGTTCACAAATGTGTGAAATTTAGCCTTTTTCTTGGGCTTAGTCATTTGAATGGCAGTATGGTACTGCTTTTAAGTCTGCTTTCATACTTGTCTGTTTTATTGGACATGCATTTACCAGCTAAATCAATGGGAACACATTACAAATGAATGTCAGCAAGGCATTTGAACTCATAATGTGGTTATTTCTCTTTTCCCTCCCCTTCTCCTCTGCTGTGTACAGCAACCATTTATTTTGGGCCTTCTAATACATCCTTTTCCTTTCCAAGGGTGCAGAACAGCTTCATTATTTTCTAGTACTGCTTCTGCACTCTTTTCCTCTTCCTCCTTTTTAAACTAATCTCACCATATCCCTGCCAACAGGAGCTGCCATCTCCAGGGCACACAGACCTCTGCTTCACAGAAATAGAGAACACATATTTATCCATATTTCCTGATGCCCAGTGTCTTTATACCAGCTTTCCCTAATATCCTATTTACACTTTTTTGTGCCTGTGCTGTGCATAGTGCCAGGTACTCAGCCACCATTATTTTGTTCAGATGGCCATACATCAGCTGCCATTACTTTGCAGCAGGAGGCAGAGGAGAAATATTAGAAAGAAGAGCATGGTTAGGGTTCTGGTGGTAAAGAGAAGGAGACTTGGGGTCCTGGCTTTTAGGAGGAGGAAAAAATATGGGGCAGCTTTATGGGACATGTTTCACTCCTCTCCGAAACAAGAGGAATATTTTGGGGATATACTGCCACTATCCAAGAAAGAACCAAAATGATTCACTCCCTTCACTTGAGGGAAAAAACTCTTTACTGCACTTCCTGATGGCAGCTCACACTGGATCAGGGGCGGACTGACCATTTGGAAACTCGGGCACTGCCCGAGGGCCCGGGGTCAGTAGGGGGCCCCATGAGATGCCCCTGGTACCTTTTTCATAGGCTTTTTTGAGTTTGGGCAAGGACACAGGGGCCCCATGATCCCCTATTGCCCAGGTCCCCATGAGTTGTCAGTCCGCCCCTGCACTGGATGCATATTTGCAGGGAGAATACAAGCTACCCATCCTGCTGCAATGCAGGGAGGAGGGCAGGCACCAAAAAATTGAGGTGGGAAATTTTGCTGGAACACAACAAGGAGTAGGGGATTGGGGTGCTGGCAGTGAGGAAGAATATTTTCTGGGGAAGCATTAAGGGGAAAATCATGTGGTGATCTCCTGCCACTATCCATGGGGAAGCACTAAGTTCCTCAATTTGAGGATGTGAAGTTGAAAAAAAAAAACACTTTGATACATATCCTGATGGGGGTAGGACCCATATGTCCTCAGGTTGAA